AGAGGGTGCGTGTCACGTGGGGCTGGTGTCCCATGGCTCAGGGTCGCCTGCATGGTAGGGAAGTAAATATCATTAAAAAAATTATCTGCCTAACCTCCATTAATTAAATTGGTTAATTGGTTAACCGATAGCTAGCCACCTAGTTTTAGTGACCTGCAACAGAAAATGGCCTCAGCCCCTTAAGCTTTTACTGGGTGTCCAGCGCTGTGTGGGCACCAGGCCCCTGGCAGGGGGTGGAGGGCGCAGCTGAGCCAATAGAGAGCACAGCTCAGCTGTGGAGCCACTGCTTCCCCTCACCTCTGCAGGCCGGGCCTGGGGCTGTGCATGGGGCGAAGGCTGTGGACCTCTCCTGTGCCCAGATCCTGCCATCACAGGGAGGGAGGGAGGTGCCGGCCCCCCCACAAGAGTCAGTTGGGGCTTTCCTGCCACAGCAGCAAGACTTCTAGCCCCACAACGGGCCTGCCTGGCACCTCTGCAGTGGCAGGGCCTAGGCAGAAAAACAGGCAACAGGCTCCCTGCACTGGCCACTGCACTTGTGCCATCATGGCCTAGACCTAGAAGTCTTCTCCACACTGCTGGGCTGGGCCCTCCCCTGCTTGCCTCAGGGGGAGCAGGGGCCAGTCCCTACAGGGTGGCCTTTGCCCAGTATGCTGTGCCCTTTCCCCTCCTGCCTGTGGTGTTGGGGCCATGCAGGCCCTGGCCCAGCCCTGAGATGGGAGTGAGCCTGCACCTGGCTCAGCCTGAGGAGGCATCATGGCAGCTGGAGCAGGTGGTGCTGGGTTTGATAGGTCACCGCTGGCCCCTCGCATGGTGAGCGTGGCTCCAGGGTGTTTTTGAGGGGTGGCAGTGCAGCAGGGATCCCAGGAGGAGCGTTAGGGCTGCAGTAGTGGCCTCCCAGGCTGGAGGGATTCCCCTGGGATCCCTGCTATACTGCTGCCCTTTGGGAATGCCCTGGAGCTGTGCTCACTGTTGGAGGGGCCAGTGGCATCCACTCAGTCCCAGCGCCACCTGCTCCAACTGCCGTGGCCTCCCCTTGGTCTGAGCCAGCTTCTCACTCAGCATTGCCTCAGGCCTGGGCCAGGCCCTGCATGGCCTTAGCACCATGGGTAGGATGGGGAAGGATGCAGCATGTCTGGCTGAGGCAGCCCTGCTGGAACCAGATCAGACGCCTCCTTCCGCCAGGGTGAGCTGGGGAGGGCCTGGCCCAGCAGGACGACAGACCTTTCCAGGTCCAGGCCATGGCAGCATTAGTGTGGCAGGAGGCACAGGCAGCCCATTACCATGTCCAGGCCCTTCTACTGTGGCCCAGAACCTCCCCCCCTCCCTATGGCAGTGGGATCTGGGCACAGAAGAAGTCTGCTGCACCCCTGGCTCCCTCCATAGCCTTAGCCCCAGCCCCTGCCCATTGAGGTGAAGGGAAGCCACATCTGGGCAGTGCCCCCTAGCAGCTTGGCCACAACTGCTGCTCTCCGTCCACAGCTCCTTGTCAGTGGCCTGGGGCCCATGCAGCACTGGGCACACAGTGAAGGTGTAAGGGGCTGAAGCCAGGGCCATTCCCGCTGGAGGTCACTAAACAGTAGAAGGTAAGTGGCAAACAGTATAAATGTAATTGTCGTTTAACTTGCATGGTGCAGCAGGGGGCTGGAAGGGTATGCATCCCACAAAGCATGTGGCTGGAGGGGCCTGTGGCTCTTGGTAACTCAGGGGTTAGATGGTTTTGCTTATAAGTAAAATTAAAAGTAAACACAAGCTGCAATTGGGTGAGACTGGAAGGAGATATAATATCTGCTCTTGTTGGAAGAATAAAGTAATAATTATAAGGTGACATCACTCATATATGGAACCTTAAGAATTATATTCTAAAACTTGTATACATCTATGTGAAGACTAGGGATAAGAAATGCATATTTTGAAAAGGAATATACCAAAGATTTGGGTATCAAAACAGTCTGTGTCAGGATAGCCACCCTCTCTTGACATGAAATAAAGAATAATAATATTAATGAACAGCTTTGTCATAGGATTTGAATTGTTTTTTAGAGGACTGAGTGTTTGCCTGTGTGAAACCTATTCAGGGAAGATATCAGAACTCCCAACTTCCACATTGCCATTATAATAATACCTTTGTTTGTCAAAAGACTCAACAAGTATGTATATAAGCTTAAGTCAGACTTTCAACTTCTGGGCATTGGGGGGCAGTAAGGGGGAGGGGGGTTGCAGACCCCTAGGCCACATATTGCATGGACTGTACACTACAGGGGACGCCCTTCTGGGTCTTTCATCTTCTCTTCTCCTCCCTCCCCTCCCTCACCGTGCAAGCAGCCTTCTCCCCTTCCCTCCCCTTGGGCAACTTAGCCTGACTCCTCTTCCCTCAGCTGTGTGCAGAACTTAGGCAATACAGACTTCTCTCTGGTCCTGTTCCCCGTGCAGGATCAGGGGCAGGGGCAGAAACCAGGAGAGAGGGGGAACCCAGTGTCTCCAACCACCATAGCAGCAGGGACAGTGGGAAAAGTGGTGGGTGGACAGGAGCCTGCAGGCTGCATGTTAACCTCTTACAGGCCTCCAGTTGTACAACTGTGGCTTAAGTGTAGGTGTTCCCATTGAAAGAAATGGGACTACCCATATGCTTTATAGTTAAGCACATGCTTAAGTACTTTCTTAAACTAGGATCATATAAAAGTAGGGAAGATGCCTGTAGATGATCTGCAGTCTTTATGGTAACTTTTATATGCATTGTTCTCTTAGTTGAATTTCTTCATGTTTAACAAGTAAAGACTGCAAGGGCTAGCTGCTTATAACTTTCAAGCTGTTTTCTGGAAGTCATGTTAATCCTGGGAGAGTGTTGTCTTCAGTGTTTCATCATTTAATTTGTGTGTGAGAAATGTTAAAGATCTTCATAAATGTGACATTCTTTTCCTTTTAAAAGTAATTGCTAGTAAATGTCATGCACGTAGGTACATCTAGTTAGCAAAATTCTTGTATCTGGGGTAGAAGTCCTTTTGATCTTCTCTCATGTCCGGACTCAGGTACTAGGCGATGATCTCTGAGGTATGCAGTCATGGTGCACCTGAAATTAGATCATAATGATGAGAAGAAACTTAGGAGAAAATGTTTTTCATGAGACTTGATTTATTTATAATGGAAATTCAAAGATACTTCTGTCTGTGAGTTGTATGCAATCATTCTTCAATGTTTCTCCATATCAGAAATGAAAGTAATAGTGGGGCAGTTCCTTTTGCCATTAATTTTAACACGACTATTTTTGAGAATAGAAGAGAAAGCACTTGGCTCATTGTTGGATGAAATTTGACAAAAATTTAAGTTTTGGGGCAGGTTTTTACAAACCCTAAAGCCAATTAAAATGTTTACTTACCATTTAATTCTTTGAACAAGCATGCCTGTAACATTTAGGAAAGGGTTTTTGTAGGTGATATCTTTTGGTTAGGCAAACTGTATAGGTGAGAGGAATATAGACTAACTTCTGGGTGCCAAGTACCCTTCTTCAAATCTCAGTTCAAATATTACAGTATTGTCATAGTATAGGAAAGTTTGAAAATAGAATGTATTAATCTTATTTATTTCTATTTATTAATAGATAGAAAAAGTAAACATGCTGAAATGTATTTTTTTGTTTACTTTGAATAATCTAAGCTGCTGGTAGCAATAGAGGGAAAGGCCTTTGCTTTTTCAAATGCATTTGAACGCAACAGTATCCCTTCACTGTAGCTTCTCCAGTACAACAATGTACTTTGGATCTTATCAATGGTAAATTACGTCTGTTACTTATAACTTGTATAGTGGATATGACCTTCCCTGTATTGTTGTTGTTTTAGGAGATTATGTAGTTCCCAGAATGATTGTAAGTTAATCATTACTGGTAATTGGTTTTGGAGTGAGATGAATCTTTCCCCTTTTTGATTGAAGCAGGGTGGCTGGGAAACATGGCATTTGCCTAATACAGCAGCGGCCAACTGTTTTTGGCAGGCCTCCCCCAAATTAAGCACTACACCTTCCCCAAGTACTACTCCAGTCCCCTTCCCCTGCCAGTTCTGCTGCTTTGCTTTCTCCCTGATCTATCTGCAGTTGTGTTCCTTGCTCCCTCCTTGATCTGCAACATACCACGCAGAGGCTACCTATGCCACTTGTGGCACACATGCCACAGGTTGGCCACCCTTGGTCTAGTAGTAATAATTCACATTTTCAGTTGATAATATTTGCAAAATGTTACCACTGTAAATTGAGAATTGTTTTAACTGGTAATACAAATTTTGGCTTCATATTTTTAAAAATAAATATAGCTTTTGATGCACCAGTTGACACTTTTGAAGGGGTCTGATTTTCAGGGAGTAAATGCTTAGTACTTTTTGATAATTAAGCCACTTTTTATGGCATGTTAAATTGAGCACCCAAAATTGCTAGTAATTTTTTTTTTAAATCTAGGCCTTGGGCTATATATTGATCAATTGGTATTCTAATTCTTCTTTTCTATTCTGGTAGAAATAATTAAGATTCCTAGAGTTCCTTGGAGTAAATCATTTGGAAAGGCTGCTCATGATAGAATTTAATTTAAATCTATATTAAATAGATTTATAAAGGCGAGCTTTGCAGTCTAGTAATATAATGTTATGCTGTCTCACAAAGCATCAGCATTTGGGTCCTAAGTAGCCAAAGCTGCTGGGAAGGCGGTACACTCAAAAGAATGAGTGGAGGAGTTGAAAGAAGAGGTACATTGTGTACCTCTCAAGCAACTCCCAGCTGTAGCTTGCTCAGAAGAGCATTGATTTGGGTTTTTTTGGAGAGAGGCCTCCACCTTTTGTGTAGAATGAGGGGCGCAGAGACATAAAGTGTTGGAGCAAGTTGGTAGGAAATAAGGAGAAGGATCCCACAGCAGCATTTTCATCCAGCCCCACCTCCTCATTTTTCCCCCCCTCCCCAATCTCCCTTGCCCCCAAGGGAAGTTACAGTATAAAGCAGTCCACCCTACCAATTTTTTCTTTCAGACCACAGAGAAGAAAGGAAAAGGAGGAAAAACCACATTTGGAGGCCCAGTTGTCAGCTCACTGTATCAAGAAGAAACCATCAGGTGACTACCTCCTCTGGTCTTTAGTTACCAACAATATTTTTAAGTTTAATTTTGCTAAGCATCTTTTTTACATTGTACAAGTGCAGTGGCAACTATAACAGGATAATAAATGACAGGAAAGAACTTTTTGGGTCCATAATCATTTAAATCAATAACTGTCTGTATAGCTGCCAGGTACTAATCTTTCTTTCATGGGAGATGTCGGGGGAAGGGCAGGGTTTTCTCTCTTGTACTTACACAACTCAAGGATTTTCTTCTTTTATCAATGCCCCTTCAGAAGTAGCTCTTTCAAATACAGTTATTTAGTTGAAAAATACAGAATTTGTGTATTGGAATAAAGGCTTTACAATTATATGTTTGTCTTAATATAGAATCTGTGCCTTGTGTTGCATAAAATTTCTTCCCTCTACAGCTTCCATAGTAAAAATGCCTTTACTAAACAAGAATGACTGGTGTTTGAAATCTGTGATAAAGGGACAGCTTTTAAACTAGGTTAGTTACTAAATGAGGACAGTTTATTTTAAGATTGCACAATAAAGGTGAGATTACTGATGGGCATGTAGTGTATGAATGAAGATAGAAAAGAAGTAACTGGGAAATCAGCAAGAATGCAACATTACATTTCTAGTTAGAAAGAAAGAAGGAAATGTGAAATGAAAGTTTCCTTCAGTAGTATGTGGTCTCATTTTGTAGAAACAGTTGCACATTTTCCTTGTCATGTTTATATATCTTGCATCATTTTGATCAAGAAATCACAATGCTAATAATGTTTTATTGATCTTTGTATACACATATGCACATGGACACGCACACATACATGCAGTTGTAAAGCAGAAGTTCAGAGATTTTTTTTTTTATTTTTATGGTCACATACCACCCCCCGTCTTAAATACAGGAAACCGTCACTATTTGCAGGTTCAGCATTCACGGTTTCAAATATTCACAAATGCCAAACCCGCATCTTAGTATCATAGTGCTTAGGGTTGGAAGGGGACCTAAACAGATCATTAGGTCTGACCCCCAGCCCCAGGCAGGAACGGGTACAGGGGTTATATCAGCCTAGCCAAATATCTGTCCATCCTCTTCTTGAAAACCCCCAAGGTAGGAGAGAGAGCTCCACCTCACTTGGGAGCCCATTCCAGAGCCTGGCAGCCCTAACGGTAAAGTAATGTCTCCTGATGTCCAGCCTGAACCTTCTCTCTAACAATTTGTGGCCATTATACCTAGTAGCCCCGGATGGTGGCCAGGGGAACAGAACTTCCCCCAACTTCCCGCTGGTCCCCCTGTTGGTGAGTTGGTAAACAGCCACCAGATCCCCTCTCAGCCTTCTCTTGTGGAGGCTGAATAGGTTCAGGCCCTTTAGCCTCTCTTTGTAGGGCCTGCCCTGCTGCTCCTTGACCATGCGGGTGGCCCTGCTCTGGACCTTCTCAATGCTAGCCACATCCCTTTTGAAGTGTGGCACCCAGAACTGGACTCAGTACTCCAACTGTGGCCTGACCAATGCTGCATAGAGGGGAAGGATCACCTCCCTGGACCTGCTTGTGATGCATCTGTAGATGCACAACAAGGTGCGGTTAGCCTTACTGACAGCTTCCTCACATTGGTGGCTCATGTTCATCCTGGAGTGAACAATGACTCCAAGATCCCTTTCTGCCACCATGTTGATAAGAAGGGTGTTCCCCAGCCTATAGGTGTGTTACTGGTTCCTGCTCCCTAGATGCAGCATTCTGTCCCTCCCCTTCAGCGTGCCCACCTCGCCCCACAACATAGTGTCATCAGCGAATCTGGATAGTATGCATTCCACACCCACATCCAGATCTCTGGTAAAGATGTTGAACAGTACAGGCCCAAGGACTGAGCCCTGGGGGACTTCACTGCCCACATCCCTCCAGGTCAAAAATGACCCATCCACCACCACTCTCTGGGTGCGACCATCTAGCCAATCTGACTGTTTAGGCATCAATACCGCAGCCACCTAGTTTTTTTAAGAGAATGTGGTGGGAAACCATGCCAAAGGCCTTCTCTAAGTCCAGGAAGATGACATCCACCCCGACACCCTCATCCAGGGACTTGTGACCTGATCATAAAAAGAAACCAGTTTAGTCAGGCAGAACCTGCCCCCATTGAGCCCATGTTGGTTGCCCCTGAGCATTACCTCCCCTGCTGGGCTCGTGCAGATGTGCTCCTTGATAATTTTTTCAAAGGTCTTCTTAAGGACCCGAGGTAAGACTGACTGGCCTATAATTGCCAGGGTCCTCCTTTCTCTCCTTGTAAATGGGGACCACGCTGGACCTCTTCCAATCCTCTGGTACCTGGCCAGTGCCCCATGAGTGCTCATAGAGCTGTGCTGGGGCCCCGTTATGACCCCCACCAATTCCCTTAGCACCCTCAGGTGAAGAGCATCTGGACCTACTGATTTAAACACATCCAGCCCCTCCAAAAGTTCCCTAACTAGGTCACCCCTGACCCTAGGCATGGTGGTGCCTCCTCTGGGTCCATCCGCAGTTCTAGTGGGGGAGATGTCCTGTTCCCTGTTCAGGAATATGGAAGTAAAGAATTTGTTAGAGGTCAGCTTTTTCATTTTCCACAATCACTAGACTGCCAGCCTATCCTGTAGGGGCCCCATGTTACCTGGTGCCTTCTTATTTCCTATGTATTTGAAAAAGGACTTCTTACTATCCTTAATGCTGGTCAATAGCCCTAGCTCCATCTCTGCCTTGGCCTTCCTAACATCCTCCCTGCAATCCCGAGCAATGGAGGTGTAATCCTCCTTGGTGACAGCCCCTTGCTTCCACTGTTTGTATGCCTTCCTTTTTGCCCTCAAGCATCCCTGGATGCCTTTGCCAAGCCATGGGGGCTTCTTAACACTCTTGCCCCCCTTGGTGCGCATTGGGACTGACTCACTTTGAGCTTGGAGGATCATCTCCTTTAGGAACAACCACCCCTCTTGGACTCCCATCTCATTGATGCTCCAAGACCCCAATGCCTCTCCTACTAACCTTCTTAGTTTACAGAAGTTGACCCTCCTGTAGTTGAGGACCTCTGCCTTGCTGCTTGCTTTTACCACCCTGCGCTGGATAGTAAATTCCAGCAGGCAATGATCATTGTCGCCTAGGTGGTTGAGTACCCGCAGACCCTCTCACCAGGTCATCGCCTGTGGCAAGCACCAAGTCCAGCAAGGCATTTCACCTGGTGGGACTATGCACCTCCTAGGTTAGGTGGAGGTCCTGTATCCCAGCTAGGAACCTACGTGAGCAGTCAGACCTGGCTGACTGCTCCTCCCAGCAGATGTCTGGGTAGTTTAGGTCACCCATGATGACCATGTCCCTTGACTTTTTACTGCCTCCGTGAGCTTACCTGAGAGTTCCAGGTCCAGCTCGTCCCCCTAGTGAGGTGGTCTGTAGTAGACGCCCACTATCAAGTCCCTTTCCCCATGCCCTACTTGCATTCTTACCCAGAGCACTTCATTTTGCCCCTCCTCTGACCCCATCCTGATCAATGAGGATGTATATTGCTCTTTGACATATTGCGCTACATCCCCCCTCCCTCCGCCCCCCCTTTCCTTGCTCTGTCTCACCTGTACAGCCTATGTCCCTTGATGTCCATTGCTCAGTCATGGGTAGAATCCCACCAGGTTTCCATAAGCCCCACTGGGTCTGAGTTTTTCCTAGCTAGCAGCCGGGCAAGTTCCTCCTGCTTTTTCCCCATGTTTAAATACGCTCAAAGGAGCTCCTCAGGAGCTCTGCACTTGCCACTGCCATGCTCCTGGCCCCATGCTCCTGCTGCCTCCAGCACAGCCATGCCCTGCCCCCAGCTGCCAGGGGTACTGCATTCATGAATGCAGACATGAACTATTCCACACATTAAGGTAGGGTGATTGAATAAGAAATGCTGCAACAGTTTCTCCCTCACCTGTAGTTCAAACTTTTCCACTGAACGTTGCAACCTATTTAACTGAGCTGGAAAGATTGGCCAGGAATCTGGGGCTACCCCCCTCTTCTTTTTGAAAAGTGCAACAAATCTATAGCTTCCACTTAAACATTCAACAAATGTGGGTAGGGGCAATTTTGGTTTAGCATGTGATCTAAGAAATAGCACTTCCAGAAGCCAGCAATGCCACACCATTGGCATTAGGTTTGAACTCAAGTCGTTGAATTCACTACCTTTTAACCTAGGAGTGAAAATACTGCTAACTGAGCCATATCAGCACAGTAGTTTCTTAAACCAACTAGGTAGTGCTGAGTAGTGAATTTCATAAAGGTTGATCTCCATAGTCTTGTTACCATAATAGAAGGCTAAATGGATTAGTACATCTATTCCCATTTTAGGCCTGTTCTTTGCTCAGTGCAGCAGAATATCATTGAAAATTTCTTCTTATTTAATTATTCTAAATTTCTTCTTGCTACTTGTGAAGCAAGTTTTGTTTATTTCCAAGAATACCTTATTTGAATAGAATTTACAAGAACATTTTGCATAGAACATTTAAATATTTTCAAAGTTACCTGGAGAAATGTTTTCTGAGGTACATATAATAAGCAGCAAGCTGATAGTTGTGCTTCTAGAAGGCTTTGCCAGATCTTATATAGCAAGTCTTTAATTCTCACCAATTTAAACGCTTATGTGTGAATACAATGTTGCATCATTTTAGCCATGCCGCTATAGTTAAACAATATAGTCACCTAGTTTGGATGAGGTTACACTCAAATAAATGTGATTACTCCTGTATTCCTCTTCCCGTATAAGAATAAGCTTTGTGAGTAAAATCATATGCATACCAGTATAACAGCATCCATGTTAAAGATTATACTAGTATAATTATATTAATAGAAAAAAGTACCATACTTTTATGTCATGATTGTATTGCTGTAAAAAGTGTTGTTAGACTAGCCCCAATACAGGTGACACTGGTGAGATCTTGACCACTGAATTTATCAAGATGATGTGGTAGAGCAGGGGTTCACAAACTGGTATGCTTACCCCTGGGGGTACACAAGACATCT